CTTGAACAAGGGAGTAAAAACGAATTACATTTTTATTAAACACTACCGGGACGAAAAGCTAGTATTAAAATAAAAACGATTGATACACTCACGTTGATACATAGTCAGCTCAATCAAGCACAAATGTACCGCCTTTGTGCAACTGATTGAACCTGAGAACGTGCTTGGAATTGACCAGCCCAGTGTGAATAATACACTCGCACCCCTTTACTCTACCAACCCCTATTCCACATCTCTTATAAGCTTTGACTGTCAACACATCAATTTGTATCATTTTCTTAACAAAAATCACTCCTATATCCATCTGCAAGCTTTTGTTTTTTGAATTTGTGTTGGTAATTAAGTGGCGTAGTAATGAGTTGAGGGGGTGGTAAATGTAATATTTGAAATCTCAAGTGGGCACTCAATCCGCCCCGGGCGTAATCATAATGCGGCGCGCGCAATAAAGCATCGCTTATTTTTTCCAACAGTAGCAGCGTCATCAATTTGCACGGCGCACCCCTTCTATTCAATGCTTAATGTATTAACTTACAATGTGTAGTGCAAGTACAGACGGCGAGCAGAGGGTTGATGTTCCAGTGCCTAACTGACTATCCACTGTGAAACAAATAAATGCCCACTTGTTTGGATAATGCGGATTAATTTCCAACAAAATTTTAAGGGTTAGAAAATATTTCAGGCTAGTTATGTGTATGTTTTATGTTTTCGAAAGATTAAAACCGACTTAAATCATGTTTTGTAAACTTTGTTCTAACTTTGTTCATTTCCTTCACACATCAAAACGGCTTGCGGCACATTTAGTTCCTTGTTCAAGTTAATTAACATTAAAACGCCGCAAAACATCGCCAAGTTAGGCGGCAATTTGTAGCCAATTTATTCGCGCTGAAAAGTTGACTCTGGCAAGTTTAAGTCTTCTAGTGTTTAATTACAACTCATTACGCCATGCAGGAGGATGCGGAGTGCGGTGTAAATTACGACAAACTCCTTCATATTTCACTTCATAGTTTGGGTGTGTATGTGTGTATGTGTGTGTTGATTCATGAAAAGTTTCTGATTCCGGAATTCCGGCGCGAGCTGCCGCCATTGCTCGCGCATTGATAAGTAATGCCTTCCTTATTAAGTTCGCCACATTCACGCCGATCCAACGCTGATCCGTCGCATCTTGCGCGCTTCTGTTTTCAATTTAGTCGCGGAAAGCCGCTCGCTCGCTGTGGGGGAGGAGGCGGAGGAAACTGTAGAAGCACTCCGGTTAATAAGGGCGCGAGCAATAATTATCTCGCGGCGTAATCGCATTAAGATCGTTTAATATTGTGCGGTATTTTGTTTACCCTCATCGTGGTTTCAATTTCAATTAAAATCAAAACATTTTAAATCTAAACTGTTTTTTAAAAAATTGATACATAACCTAGTTTTTTGAAGTACGCTTAAAAAGTTGCATAAATCATTGGATTTTACATTAGTTTATACTTAATTTCATAGAACAGATCGGTTTTATATTTATTTAGAATATTTTTATATGAAGTGTACGTACGATGAGAAAATATGAGTGTTTCTCATTGTGATGCACACGAGTGAAAAAGGCTTTTCTTTCGCCGACAAAAGGAAAAGCCGAAACCGATGCGTTACCATTCGTCGGGCGGCGGCGGCTTTTGTGTGGCGCAGGCTCGGGCGTATGTGATGCGACGAAATAATCCAATTTCGATGCGCACAATTCGTTAGCCAGACATAAAAACACTTCTTTTGCGCGCGGGCACAAAAGAAGAGAGCTTTCATTCAACATTCACAATCGCAAATTTGTTTAGTAAAATATTTACTAATAAACATTTGAAAATTTAAACAATTTGGCAAAAACATTTCTCTGGCATTTTTGCATAATTAATGAAACATTCTAGACTGTTTTCGTATTAAAGTTTTTTTTAAATATTAGTTATCATAATAAGTTCAACATTTTTAACACTACAAGAAACACGTTGCTATTAAGCGATTAAAATCGTTTAAGGATTAATGTTTAAACTTTTTGTTGAATTTTGCCCGCAACTTCGTCCCGGTAGTGTTTAATAAAAATGTAATTCGTTTTTACTCTATCAATAAGATGAGCAATTTTATTTTGAAGAAATTATTTATATAAAAAATTGCTAATAATGCACTTCAGCGCGCTATCACGGATTCAACTATTAACTATAACTATGATTGATTTTCAATGCCAACTTATATCTTAGAGAATAGGGCTGTCTTTAGGGTTTTCCCGGCAATTATTCAAATTTTTCTCGCAGTTAAAACCACCCTTGGACTTTAACAAACATTTAAAAAAAATAATTGGTCAAATTGGGAATTTGAAAAAAAAATTATTTATTTTTTTTTATGTATTTTAAAACTTAATTATTAATTTTATTGATATGCAATGTAAAAAACGAAAAAAATTTTTTTTTTTCAATTAATTATAAAAGATTAAAAATTGATACAATTAAAAAAAAATCATGTGACTGTGAACGCACCACGATTGGCTACCATACTTGTGACGTCATAATGTTAAAGCAATTATATTACAGTGCAGCGCTTACGGCTATTATATGTAACTTGACAAAAACATTGTAAATTTACTATTAAAAAAAGATTTGTTAAAGTTAATTTCGTTCAACTATGTGTGATACAGGATTTATAAAAGCAAATTCTGATAACATTCCTGATGTTGATATATTTATGATCACCAAATAAATATACTTACATCAAAGTGATCTTCACAACAAAAAAAATTCGATTTTGTTTTAGGATTATCTCGGAGCACTGCTTGAAACCATTTTTTTCGACGTTTCTCGTCTTGAGGAACATTTAAAAACATTTTTTCAGGAGTTGTCTTTGTTGTATTTGTACATAATGGTACAAAACAAGAGCGATAACTTTTGAGATTTGACATTTTTTATATATTTTTGAGTATTTAACAATTACAGAATGAAATTAATCAAAGCTCAAAGCACTGTGCTTATTATCTCTGTCTCTGTATACTACTATGAGTGAAAACTAACATTATGACGTCACACGCGCTCGGATTTGTTCGGGAGTTGTCGGCGCGTCTTCGGTACTGGATTCAAAAATTAATTTTTATTTTGATATAACTTTTTAATTATTGCGAAAAATAAAATTGTTATGTTATAAAACTTATATATGATCTTTCCATTAAAAAAAAAGTTTCAAAAACCCAATTGGTCTAGGCGTTGTTGAGTTATGCGCTTACCAACAGAATTTGCGATTCAGTTTTATATTTGGCAATATTACATTGGTTTATTTCATATTCGGTAAATTGTTTGGTAAAATTTGATGCATGAATTTTTTAAATAAAATGCAAAAATATTTGTAATAAAACTGACATTTTTTGTAAATATTCAATGCACAACATGGGGAAATAGATTGAACTCCAGAGAAATTAATTTTACTTTCTGTTTTTTAACGAAGCGGACCAAAATAAAAATAAAATGTGGGAAACGCCAAAGTAACTTCGAAACATGTTGTTAAATTGTTTATTAATTATATATTTAATTATTCCCATATTAGCTCTTTTCTTGACTAAAAAACCTGGGAAATTGACACATATTGGAATGAGTTTCAATCGTCTAATATTACCCAATTACAATGTACATAGCTCACAATCGAAAGTTTGAATAATGATAATCTAATCAAAACACACAACACACACACAAAACACGCTGCTCCCCTAGATGATTTCCATCTGCTTATTGTTGCTTGGGCAAATAGAGTTATTTGAAACTACTAATACGCATTCACGTTCGAGTTTGTTGGTTTGTTCTCGTATTATACGCGTTTTATCAATTACGTATTGACTTTAGAAAATCGGTTAGACTTTAAAGCACACAGCGTGTGATCTAAAAGGCGAGCATCTGCAATGTGAGAACTTTATTTTCTAGGCGCTCTATTTATAAAAATTGGAAATTTGATTTATGAATGCATACGATTCGATGTTTTGATCAAATCCGGTTTATGCGGTAGGTATATGCACTGTGGACAGAGACAATATTTCTTCTTGAAGGCGATGGCGAATGCGTTATTCAATATATTTATGCGTTTTCTGTTAGGCGGGAAGAATCGAGGGCGTCGCGACGCGTGCTATTTAGATAAACATACCTATTTGCGGAATATACGAGCGCTCTTCTGGTCAGTGGGCGGAAATACAAGATGGCTATCGGCGTATAAAAATCCTGTCTTGACCACTGTGTTCGTCTCAGGTTTCAGCTCTTTGCTACAGGGTGCAAAGAATTGTCGTAACGGTTATTTTCTGGAAAACGACTGTTTTTTTTTCAAATATAAGCAAAAAAACATAAATTTTACTAATTATCAAATTGCAAAATCTGTTGGTAAGCGCATAACTCAACAACGCCTAGACCAATTTGGCCAATTATTTTTTTTAAATGCTTGTTAAAGTCCAAGGATGGTTTATACGGCGAGAAAAATTCGAATAATTGCCGGGATAACCCTAAAGACAGCTCTTTTTTATAGGATAAAAGTTGGCATTGAGTTTCAATCATAGTTATAGTTAAATAGTTGAATCCGAGATATCGCGCTGAAATGCATTATTAGCAATTCTTTATATAATTAATTTCTTTAAAATAAAATTGCGAATCTTATTGATAGAATTGACACATACTATGTCTAGAACAAGAGAGTAAAAACGAATTACATTTTTATTAAACACTACCGGGACGAAGTCGCGGGCAAAAGCTAGTACTTTATAAACATGAATTTTGCGAAATATGTTGCCCAAATAAAAATATTGACTATATTTAAGATTATAATTTGTTGAATCCATAACGGAATCAGAAAAATGGAAGTTCCATTTAAATGGTTATTGATTACTTGAGTTTTAAAGTAAATTTGCTCCGCCCAACAACATAATACGCCTGCGCGACGAACTTAACGTTGACTGTAATTGTAAAAGCAAAATATAAATTTGTGGGACAAGTACAAGTATAAAATTCAAATATAGAAAATATTATAATAAAGGTTTATTACCAACCAATTGAACAAATAACAAAAGTTTCTATACAAGATATTTACATACAAATTTCTTTCAACGAAAAACAAAATGTCCACAAAGTCTAATATAAAATTGCACTAAAGTTTTGTATCCTCCTTATCCTCACTTATAACATACGTGTAACTATCATTTTTTTTCATTAATTACTTAATTTTATTTATGTCTCCTTCGAAGTGTCAATTGTTCTTGTAGTTTATTAATTTACAAAGTGTCGTTAACTTCAACCACTAGCGGGCTTTTCGCGTTCCGCTCCGCATGCTCCTTGACTGCGTTGTTAACGCAGCTCGACGTCGCCAGACTAGCGATATCATTCCACCAGGTGCCCAGGTTCATCCGCTCGGGAAGAACCGGCAGCGGTTTTCATATGACGTGTTCGCGCACACCACCACCACCCTCGCGGAATTCATCGTTCTTCATGATGACACGTATCGGTAGTTTGATCGGTTCCGGGCTAGGTGTACGCTGTGAAGGAAACGCGCTTGTTGCCGACGCCACGGCTGCCACTGCCGCCGCTGATGTTGGAGGTGGACAGATATTGCAGGTTGTTGCAGCGCTAATATTCGCTAGACCACTGATGGGCCAATTCGCTAGTGACGGCGGGTAGAAGTGATTAAACAGCGCGAATTCGGCGAGTTTTTCATCCGGATGACGAAATGGGTAGATATAAGGTAAACTAGGGAAGATATTACGATGGTGGAGTTTTAATTGCTCAGCATCAGGCATCAACGAGGGCATTAGCGAACTACCAGATCCGCTGATGGGCGGCATCAATGAACGTGACAATGTTGATTCGTTGGTGTGATGATGTTGAATGTGCGACATTGGGAAGCCGAATTTTTGTTCTTTCTTCATCAGTGGCTTGGGTTTCCGGCGCGGGCGGTATTTGTAGTCCGGGTGTTCTTTCATGTGCAATGCTCTGGAAATGGAAAGAAATCATTTTTATAATAATCAACAAGTTATTAATACAAGTCTAGTCTTGTAGGTTTCCGACTTATGCATGCACGCAACCATATTTGAATCTCGTTGAATCGCTGAAACAATTCGCATTGTTTCCACTTTCCACCTCGTGAAAGTCCAATTGGTGTTTAGAGTGCCTACAAGCCGAGGAAGAATCGAAGCGACGTGGTGTTGTGTTGCACGACGATGGGGGGAGACAATGCGAGGTGGCGCGTGAAAGGGTTCATTGTGGCGCGGGCGCTCGCGCGTTTTAGGAAGAGGCGCGCGTCGCGCGAGAATGGCGGACGAGACAATCCGCCAACTGAATGGGTTCACAGGAGGCGCGCAGTGTATCGCCACAATGGCGGGCATTATCTTTTGTCGCCAGCTGAATATGTGTGTTGGCTTAGATAGTATTGTGCAATGTTCATGCTCGCCTCCGTCGCCGCGCCGCCGCTCCACCGCCGAGCACAATGCATCTCAATACACGATATTGCAGACGATTCCGTATTGTTCTACAATTCCTCGCACAATTCACGACATTCAAACGCGTTTAAATACAAGGAAATGTATCTAATTTTAAATTTTTTATATTAAAAAAATATGTATGCACTTTTATTAAAATTTTCCCAGAAAATTGCAGAATAAATATTTGTTCAAGCAAAATTAATCTGTAAATATTTAAAAAAAATATGTATAATATTAGATATGTATGTTTTACAATAATAGGTAGGCTATTACTTGATATAACGAAAAAAAGCCCAATAACATGGAAGTTTAATTAACTTTGTTGGTTAAATCCCTATATTCGATTTCTTAGCGACTTTAAGTGTCCAAAATTTGAGATAAAAGTTGCAATAGAAGTGGATTGGTAATATTTCTTATATTTTTGAATTAAAATTATCGAATTCAGTCCATAATAGGTCTAAGAAACAAGAAATCAATTTTTATTAAAATCAACGCGGAGAAAGTCGCGATAAAAACTAGCAAATAATATATTTTGTTTAATACTTATGCAATTAATTGAAATGCCATTAAAAATTTTCTTTTGCTGCACATGGTATTCCTATTAACTGATACGATTTTAAAATTCAATATTTTCTTCACGTGCGAGAATCATGGCGACAATTATTTAATCTACATAAGTTATCGACGATTTTATGTCAACTCCACTATCATCGTATATTAGGCAAACAAACAAGAAGAAAAGATGCGAGCAAATGTATAAGATAGCTTTCACTCATCCGGGATGTGATGAATACCCGCCCGATGTTTATTTGGTTTTCATTCAGGTAGTTTTTATCTGTCACTGTATACAATGCCTCTGTGTGTTTAATGATACAAAACCATCTTTCGAATCAACAATGTTGACGCACGAGAGTAACATGAAATTTCTCAAATGTGTCGTAATGTTATATTAGCATTAGATATAAAGAAAACCCGAGAAGAAAAATTTGAAATAAGTTTGTGTTTTGATTGTTTTAGTTTAGATTAGAGATGAAAATCCGTGGCAATTTAGTTAAGTGTCGTCTGTTGCACAAAAGATAACACACATAACACACGCGCGCGGATTTGTCATTTATAGGCGTTGAGAGGGCGCGTTGAGGGCGCGAAGCATGCGGCAAGTTTCAAGCCGTGCTAGTTTACCACGTTACCAGTTACCAGCTACCAGCTGGATTTTGGATTACCGAAATTACCATTAAACAATGATTTGTCACTCTTAAAAGCGCTTAAACGCATAGACCAGTGGAGACCAGCATGCTTGGCATCCCGAAGGGGATTAATCTCTCGTTTATTTGTTTCCTTCCGGTGCGCACAATATTCAAATTGGGGAAAATTCATTATCCTTGTTTTAGTACAAAGATTAACTATTATTTTATATTCTAGTCAATAATTATAATCAATAAAATATTATTTTACGGCAAAATGATTAAATTACTTTAGGAATGCTTGTATTTCAATTTATATTTTGAAAATTATTGTTGGAAATAAAATGAAAATTACTGACATATTTCTGGAATATTACAAAAATAATAATTAAACAGTGAATTTTACTGATGCACAAATCTTGACGTTATAATTAGCATCAAACGCTCAAATACGATTTCTGCATTAACTTCAAGTTTTATAATATTGTTTATGAATAATTATTTGGATATAATTATTGATTTTAGTTTTTTTTGCTTATATTTTGTTATGGTCAAATTATTGAAATAAATTTTCTCATGGCCAAAAAATAAAATAAATTTAATATTAAATCATATTGAGCTCTATCAATTTATTTAATTTGTTGGACTCTAGCACCACACTAAAAAGGTTTATTGTTCAATGATAAATAAAGTTTAATTGAGAACAAACTTTTGCAGTGTTGAAAATTTTAATGTGAACACAATTTTGAAGCCACACAAAAAAATTGAAAAAGAAAATAAATACCTGAGTCTTTTAGCTTCGTCAATAAATGGCCGTTTCTCAGTCTCGGAAAGCAACTTCCACTCAGCACCCAATCGCTTCGAAATCTCCGAATTGTGCATCTTCGGGTTCTCCTGCGCCATTTTCCGGCGCTGACCACGCGACCACACCATAAACGCATTCATCGGCCTCTTGATATGTTCATGATTGTGTCCGTGATGAATGGGTTTCGGCGATGACATGATTATCAATTAATTTGTTACAAATCACACTAGAAACTACGCTTTATATTCTTTACTGTTCTTAGTCTTAGTCTTAGTTTATTTTGCTGTTGTTAAACATCGATGTTGTTATTGCCGCGCAATGTGAATGCGTGATAGTGTGCGTGTGTGGGTTGGCGCTCGGGGACCTCTTGTTCTTGATGGATTGTGTTCCGCGGTTAGCGATGAACTGATGGTTTTATCAGTGCACAAAGTGAAAGGCACGTCGCACACGCGCTGCGCCGCGCGCGTCCTGATACGTCCTCCTCCTCGAACGCCCTTGCCGAGCGCGCTTGTTTTCCGAAGGGAAGAGGGCGTAAAGTGCGCGCGCGACCGCGCACAGGATAAAACCGGGATCAAGCACAACAGGACACAACAAATGTAATGTGTAGCATGTAATGTAACGCAAATCATCATTAAATACCACTTTACTATACATTTAAACTAATTAAGTAAAAACACTGGAAAATAAAATCATTAAACACTTTTAGGATACCATATGAAAATACAATAAACTACTTAATATTAAAAAGTTATAATTTGTTATTAGTGTATAAGCAGGTTTGTTTCAGTTTAGGTTAGGTAATACACGGTATTCTGTAGTTCCACTTGTTGCATGCGTTTCTACCGGTGTGCAGGACTGCAGGATACATTCCTGCGAGAGCCTGGTGGGGGATGCATCGATTGTTTAAACTCCGCCTTTAATATCAGTACAAGGCTATTGGTGCGGTGGGCAACCCGCTTTCGATATTAACATTTACTGTACAGTTGATAAGAATCTACAAAAATAACATACTTTATGTAGTCTTTAAGATTTAATTAGTTTATTTATATTTTTAAGTACGTTTTAAAACATTTAGCTAAAGAAATGGGTATGTATTTTAAATTAGTTATACCTGTATTAATTTTTGTCACACAATTAAATAATAATTATGATTTGAATCTATCAATAATTTGGAAGTAAAATGATTTGTAAAGTACCAATTTTATGTTTTAATTTTTTATTTTAATTTAATAAACAAGATCATTTTTTAACCACTGATGATTTATAGAAAACGTTTGAAACGACTTATAATAAAATCCACTTTTTAAATCTGTAATAAAAAAATGAATCGCAAAATCTGTTGGTAAGCGCATAACTCAACAACGCTTAGACCAATTTGGCCAATTCTTTTTTTAAAATGTTCGTTAAAGTCAAAGGGTGGTTTTTACCGCGAGAAAATTTCGAATAATTACCGGGAAAACACTAAAGATAAAATCTATAGGATCTATAGGATAAAAGTTGGCATTGAGATTCAATCATAGTTATAGTTAAAAAGTTGAATCCGAGATGGCGCGCTGAAATACATTATTAGCAATTCTTTATATAATTAATTTCTTTAAAATAAAATTGCGAATCTTATTGATAGAATTGACACATACTATGTCTAGAAGAAGAGAGTAAAAACGAATTACATTTTTATTAAACACTACCGGGACGAAGTTTCGGGCAAAAGCTAGTATTAAATAAATATTAAAAACCCATCGTAGTAACTATTGCTGTATTAGAACTTTAGAAAATTTATTGCATTTTTTTCTTATAGTAGAAGGATATTTTAATAAAAGAAGCGTTGGTAAAACAGTTATCCCCGGATCAATCCCAGACGTGTGCATGCAAAAAATAATTAAAGCCAGCACTAGAGTATAAAGATGCGCCTGAGCAGTTTATAGCAGATCTTGTTAAGATAGGTATAAGTTTGTATAAAAACGCCAAAGGAACTCTAATTTGTCAAAAAGAATTAGGTAACCATAGGTAATTAATACTGCAAATTTAAAGAGTATTTTTATTTTTGTTTTAGAGCATGAATCGTTTGAAGTTAGACTAGTCTCAAACAAACGTGTTTTGCAAATAATAAATACGCTGGTGGTGCGTGATGGGGTGAGCTCCAATAACATTGTTATCAATTCAAAGCGCATATAAAAGCAATAACCCGATATTTATGATAAATATAATCTCGAATCAAAATTCCACTCGTGCGGAGGTCCAATTGAATAGTGCCAAATTGACGCGTTCGCGCCCACTCCACACGCACACATAACACCCCTTCGTCTGTTTGGATGTGTATCGATGCGTTCGATGTATAGACGGGTGTGTGTGTGCTCCAAGGGTTGGCAGCGCACAATAGCCGCCTTTTAGTTTACACACAACTATACGCCGTCGGCACAAAACGGACAAATGCGGAATATGCATTGAAATATAATAAAACACGTCTGCGCCACTCGAAATGCCACCCCCGCTGGTGGTGTGTGTGTGTGTATACGCGCGCGCGGTATCTATTTGTATGTAATATCACGCCGAAACACGAATTCGTGTTTGTCACATTGTCGCGTCGAAAATTGCGCGAATGGCGTATTGTATACGCGCACAAAAACAAATTGACATCGCAAAAATTGCTGTATTGTCTCAGCAATCAAGTGCGATTGTCCGCGCGCTCAATGCCTATTTAACACCCTCCCCGAAACACGCTCATTCTCTACGGCGCATAATCAAATCACAGCACCAGAAAGCAAAATGTTAACGTTTAACATGCACTTATTATGCTGAAACATTTTTTTGTTTAAATTGTCTACCGTTTTTCTTTATTTTTTTATCCAAGATAGTTTCGTATGAAAACCTTAAGCGAAAGCATTTATTGCATTCAACAGAAAGGCGGAGGTCCTTTCGGTCGTCGGTTGTAAGGAGCGAGAAGCAGGCGAGAAAAAGGGGGCGAACTTCTTTTTGCGGGTTTGTGCTCGGCGAAAAGCACAAAAATCTTGATAGCGCCCGTTCTATAAGTGAGAATGGCGCCGCGAATAATATCGTAAACTTTACAAATCCCATTTGGAATTGTGACTTTTATGTTCGCCTGAAAGCGGATTTCGGCTTTCGATTCTTATATTGTGTTGATGACGACGACGCCTTTGAAGCGCGCTCTTTTTTCCACGTTTTCTACGCGCCGCCCGCTTTTATATTTGCCATAGGACAATTCGCTGTTAATTGCGGTCGTGAATTTCTCGTTAAGATTAAGAATATTAAAATTTATAATAAAAAACTAAACGTAATAAAATAAATCCTAATATTACTTATATAAAAACAAGAAGAAAAGTTTAAAGCAGAATATTTAAAGAACATTTTTGAAAAAATTTAGAAACTTTGATATCTTGAATTCTAATTACAAAAGGAAAACAAATAATGAGATACCCATTTCGGTTTTAATTAAATCTTTGTCTGATAATATATTTTTAATAAAATGCAATTTTTTTGTCGTGTTGAAATTTGTCTCTTAATAGTATATTAAGTAACAAGTGGCTAAACGAGGGCATTACAGACGAGATTGATTGAGAGCGAGCGTAGCGAGTTGTCAATCAATCGAGTCTTTAACAACGTTTAGTCACGAGGTGCTATTTCTTCTACTTTTACTCCAGTTACACTTTGCGGTTCGTATTGCAACTTTTGTCTTTTAAATCATCGAAATTAGCTCACACATTTATACAAAATGTAAGGTTTAAAGTGCCATGCCGCGCGCCAGCCCATGTGACGCTTCGGCTATTATCGTGCCCCTCCGATACGAGCAGCAGTAGCGCCTGTTTTGACGTGTTTGACTGACGTCGCATGGCATTTGATACCGCCTTGTGCTGCTCCGTAGGCAAATGCCCAGGCGCTTGCTCCGTCCCGTGCATAATGTAAACACATAATGAATATTATGTACGGCTTGGCCATCCGTATATATAGTACCAATTTTTGTGTTTAAAACCGTGGAAAACGTGGCACTTTATCGGTAGAAGTAGAAAAAACAAATAAAATGACACAATTTGTAAAAATGCATTTTTGATCGGATATTTTTCATTCCCTATTATAATTAATTAACTTTTAAACTGAAATAGAATTTTTTGCTGATATCCTTGCGTTTTATATTTTTCAAAAAAAAATTGAAGTAAAATATTTAGTTAAAGTGAAGTAGATTATATGAAACTAGGACGCCATATAAAATAAAAATCAAATCAAATCATGAATAAAGCAGGTTTTAAAAACGTTCGCATAGTAGATACGTTTCCTGGTTTGTATTTTTGTATATTTATCGAAAGGCGTTCGCCGCTGGATTGCAGCGATCGTCGCATCGCATCTTCAGAATTATTCTCGAGCCCCCGTCAATAAATTCGCGTATTTAGGATTTGTGGCGGTGCATAAAGCGCCGACGGACGAAATCCTTTCAAATGGTATATTGGATCGTGAATGGATGCGCGGCGCAAACGTGTGCCTGCCTTCCGGGCGCCCGCTTTGTATAAAATCGCACAAAAAGACACACCACCATCGGCGAGGTGCGCTCATTCTCCCTTTCTATCATTTTTTTATTCGTTTGATAAACACCAAAATCGTTTAATTCAAAAAACACCCTCTCCTAAATCCACCTACGAATTGGTGATATACTGCTATGGGCTAGTCGTATATATTGATGGGTATTTTATTAATGTTGTTCTTTGCATTTTCATAACAATGAAATGCTGCGCGTCTGCTGTTGAGGGCTGAAGTGATGTGAGACGGTGAGACAGTGGCGAGCATTACAAACCCTCCGGCGTGTTTGCACACCAGCGCAGTGGTGTGTGGTGAGGTCGGGCGGGTCGAGCTTTATTGGCAGCCATCTCCTGTTGATTCATTCTTTTCCTCTCAATAACTGCCGAGTGCTAATATTTTGTTAGACGACGCGCGACGTGTCGATTGAAAACCATCACTATACACGGTCAATCGCACGGTGTCGGGCTTATTGTCTGCTGAAATCACTGTTGGGACAATATGTTATTTACAATATTCAGGTTAAATTCAAATTTTAAAAAATATATAAAAATAATTGGTATAGGAATAAAAACTGTTCAAATTAAAAAAAAAAAGTACTTGAAGTTATTTTAAACAATATATTAAAAATAATAGTAACGATATGTTAGGCAGTGGGATCTAGTGGCAAATACAGCAACTTCCACAAGCTTGCTTCTACTTTCAATAGAGTAGAGAAGTTGAATTGTTGGATTTGGCTAATTGCCACTAGATGCCGCTGCAATGCTGATTTCTGTTATCGTTTCTTAAAATTTGTGTTTTTATAGGTTGGTTTTTATAGGTAACATTGAAAACTAAAAAAATTAATGATTAAAATACATATGATGTTAAAAAACAAACTTTTTTCAA